AGAGAGAGAGAGAGAGAGAGAGAGAGAGAGAGAGAGAGAGAGAGAGAAGAAGAGAGAGAGAGAGAGAGAGAGAGAGAGATTTTATGATTATGTGTTTCTTGTTATGGCAGGTATCTTCCCACAAGTTGGAGGAAGAAAATTAGACAGGATAGCCAAGGACAAACTCAGGACTACTGTGGGCACCAGGCTAAGGAGCGTCAAGGAAAGCCAGGGAAACAAAGGACGAAATTCGGACGGCGAGGATCTGAAGTCCACCAGCCCCTACGGCGACGATCTGCTGGGGTTGCTGATGGGTGGGTCCCACATGGACATGGAAGTGACCATGGACGAGTGCAAGACCTTCTTCTTCGCTGGTCACGAGACCACCTCTAACCTGCTCACATGGACACTTCCTTCTTTGCGTTGAGAGAGAGTGGCAAGAGAGGGTGAGAGAGGAGGTGCTAAGCACTTGTGGAATGGACGTCCTAGATGCTGACACGTTCTCCAAGTTGAAACTGGTGAGCGATCAAATTTAGTGATTCTGACCTTGGAACTTGATACGTCAAGATGCAGTTGACCCGAACCCGATCCATTTACGGCCCTACTCATTCTTGCTGCATTCTCCTCCACCATTCCAACATTTTTTCAGTGGTTCCCAGAGTTTCAAAATTCAGATCAGTAGGGCTCATCGTTCACCTGTAGATTTGTGTGGGATCACTAGATTTTGTATATGGATTGGTGACTCATAAACAATAAATAAAATAAAATACAAATTGATATAGAAGTTTACAAGGTAAGAGTTTAAGGGGATCTAAAAAAACATTAGATAAATTAAAAAAGAACAAAAAAAAAAACATGGGGAATGTAGGGGAACTAGGTCGAGATCCATATCATCCAAGAACTGATTCCATCGTTATTTAATTTCTATCCAGAGTGGCAATTTGGATAAAAGATCACTGAATTTTAAAACTTTGGTAGTTCATACAATACGGCCTAATAAAAATTGGGCAATATAAGCATCCCAGAGAACCCATGTGTAAGTATACCAATGGCCCTAATTCATACAGACCCAAAGTATTGGGGTGAAGATGCAAACGAATTCAAGCCCTTAAGGTTCTCTAATGGAGTTTCTCAAGCATCTTCACACCCTAATGCCATGATCCCTTTCTCCACTGGGCCTCGCACCTCTGTTGGGAGGAACTTTGCCTTAATGGAGGCTAAGATGGTGCTGGCCATGATTCTTCAAAGGTTCACTCTCTCTCTCCCCAAACTACCTGCATGCCCCCACAACCAACCTCACCTTGCAGCCCCAACATGGCCTACAGTTGCTTGTCAAGCCGTTTGTACTTTAAAGAGAGAGAATCCTCTAATATTTTTGTTTTTCATCTTATGGATTCTTGATATATATGGCGCCTCTATGGATTATCACCTTTTATTTGTTTTACCTCTTATGAGTCTAGATAGTAGTATCATTTTGCAAATATCATTTAAGGGTTCAAACCCTGTACAAATTCATTAAGGGGCTCAAATCTCAATTAACACTAAAAGAGTTGATTTCTTAATTTTCATCTCTCTTAAGATTTTCTTTCAAAAAATATTTTTTAATTACACCAACAAATTGCTCGATCCAAATTTGGGAACCCCAAAAAAGTAAAATGCAGATACGTTTTTGAGGAGGTGCCTGAATGAAATTAACAAATAAATCCCTTAATGTTAATTGGGATGATGATTTTGCAAGTAATTTTAACGCCTTAAATAAATTTTCCCAAAATCAAATATACCAAATTGTGATTATGACCATCCTTGATATGATGGATGAACAAAAAGGCAAAAAAATTATATAACACAGCAAACCAACGTCTTATTCGGTAAGTACAACAAACTCAAGTTGCATTTTACTGGACATATTGTAAAGAATAAGAACAAGCATAGAAGCATCTACATAACAAAACCATATCAAAAAAATGTTCTCCCTTATCCCACAATCAGCAAGAGAAACCAAAACCAATCAAAAGGACCATGATTTTCTACACACCTTTATCCCCACAAGTGACACACCAACCTGGAAAACACAACATTTGCACACAGAAAAGCAAAATAAAACACCCCATGCACACCACATTTACAGCATAAAAAACAAGTCCAACAAATTTCAACTGAAACCCTCTTCCTTTTTTTTGTTTTGAATTTGTACTCCCTTTTGTCACTCTTTTGTTTCTGATGAGACCGGCTTTGGGTTTGGAGATTTCCCTGTAATTACCTTTTTAACCTTCACAATCGACTGTTTCACCTTTGAACCGACATTTGATAATATGTTATGCGACTTCTTGTGGTGCTGTTTCATGGGTACTTCTTGTTTAGAAGAAACCTCTTCTGTTTTCTCTTCTCCATGCTCAGGTTTCTCTGTTGAACTTGGAACTTCAGTTTTCACACTCCCCTCTTTCTTCTCTTCTTCCTTCACTGCTTCACTATCTTGAATAGAAGCAATCTCCTCAACCTCGGGTTTGTCAATAGATTTATCCTCAACAAGTTCAGCACTACCACCATCTTTCACTTCTAGAGCTCCGCTATCTTTGGCCACTGCTTCTAAATTTGGAGCATCTGCTTTTGACACCTCTTTCTCTTCCTCTTTGGCCACTACATTTTCTGGTTCAAAGCTTCTAGCTGTTATCACTGGTTCTGATTTTACTGGTTCCTCCATATGCTTGGTGGTAGTGACACTCTGTTCTTTTTCTTGTTTAGAAGAATCCACTACTCTTTTCTCTTCTCCATACTCTGGTTTCTCTGTCGAACTCCGAACGTCAGTTTCCACGGCCCCCTCTTTGTTCTCTTCTTCCTTCACTGCTTCACTATCTTGAGTAAAAGCAATCTCCTCGACCTCTGGTTTGTCAATAGATTTATCCTCAGCAACTTCAGCACTGCCACTACCTTTAACTTCTGGAGTTATGCTATCTGTGGCTGCTTCCTCCAAATTTGGAGCATCAGCTTTTGACACCTCTTTCTCTTCCTCTTTGGCCACTACATTTTCGGGTTCAAAGATTCTCTCTGTTGTCACTGGTTCTGATTTTACTGGTTCCTCAACAGACTCGGTCCTAGTGACACTCCCTTCTTTTGGGGCCTCACTATCTTTTGGGGTCTTAGCCAATTTTGGAGCATCAATTTCTTTAACTTCATCTTTCACCCCCTCTACAACAACCAGTGTCCATTCTGGGGCAGCTGCCTGGGATTTGACCAAATTCCCAGCAAGTTCAGCCCTAGGAACACTCTCTTCTTTTTGCACCTCGCGAACTTTGGTGGTGGAGACTAACTTTGGATCATCGGTTTCTTTCACTTCATCTTTAGCTTCCTCTGCAACAACCACTGTATTTTCTGGGACAACTGTTTCAGGTTTCACTAAACTTTCTGCAAGTTCAGCACTAGCAATGCTCTCTGTTGTTGGAGCCTCACTATCTTTGTCATGCTCAGCTAAAGTTGGAGCATTTTCTTTAGCGACCTCATTTTTCACCTCCTTGGCAACTACTTCTTTTGCAGGTACAATAACTTCTTCTGTTTTCGTTGGCTCCTCAGCAATTTCAGCAACTGTTTCACTCTCTGCTTTAGGTACCGCGCTCTCTTTTTCAGTTTCTACCAAAGTTGGTATCGCCGTTTTTGCAACATCCTCTTTCTCCTCCTCCTGCACCACTGGCTTTTCCAATTCAAAGCTTCTCTCAGTTGTAATTACATCTGAACTTACTGAATCATCCCTAACTTTAGTACTAGGGATTGCCTCTGTTTTTGGGTCCTC